GATTTGAAGCCTTGCAAAAATGTCGTCACCTGTGATTCATTGTAAATATGGAGTGACTTTAAAAACAACTCTCTCAGTTACCTGACGGTCGATTTCAGGCGAAGTTGTATAATCATTTGCCTTGCATCAAAATGAGCGTTTTGAGAGGTCAACGACAGGCAAAAGCAAAAAGCATACCAGCATATCGATGCGTCCAACTGCATGTCCATTTGCTGTATACTGAAACTCAAGTGTTTCGTACTCCTTATCTCTTGAGTAAACCGAACGGAGCTTGAAAAACGTAACTGCGGAATCGGGCTTCTCGTTCATCAATATCTGCAGCACCAAGTTAAATAAAAGAAACAAGTGTGGCGCATAAATCACCTCGTAACCAAAGATCAAACCACATGCCGTCCTAAAAGTAAAAGCCTTTTCGGCAAACACTTGCATGTATCTGGAACAAAGACAGATTAACAAAATCTCAAGCGAAGTTATTCTAACCTGTTTTCACGTTTTTTTAACGTAGAAATCTCCTGCTCTAGTGCGCCCACTTTGCCCGTCAGCATAGCAATCTTGTCCTTGCTTTCAAGAATAGATGCAATTTGCTCTGCATATGTGATTTCACCATAAGGACGCGATTTAAAACATATAACCGAACATACCGTGCGTGGCACTCTCAACAGGTATAGAAGTGACAACCGGGTGAGACGTTTCTCTAGTGTCCAAGCTTGTTCGCAGCTTCAAGACTTTGGTCTTGGAAGGATCAAACTCACCGCAAGCAAGCTGTGAGGCAAAACTCAGAAAATAATACAGAAAGAAAGTACTACTATTACCTTTCCTTCAAGGATTCCAATTTCTTGCCGTAATTGCAGCGATTCGCGTTCCAAAGATGAAATTTTAGAGCGTGCAGCTTCAAGATCGGCTGAGAGTTTATCGGCAGCGATTTGACGCTCCTTTGACGTTCCAATGCTTTCTTCTAATTCCTTCTCTATGACCTTGATCGTCTCCTGCGAGCTAGCTAAGAGACTCTCCAGCTCCTGTATGAACACAAAAAACATCAACTTATCATTGACATATTTTCCTACCTCAATTCGTCGCTGCTTAGACTTCTCAGGAGTCGCAAGTACAGTAGAGGAAGCTGCCTTATGTTGTTGCAAAAGGAACGATTCCTCCTCATCATATGAAGCAAGGATGGCTTTTACTCCATCTCTTTCTCGTGTCAAAGAAACAACCTACCATTACGCAGAGCTTGAAGAAAACCACAACAAGAAGAAATCACGTGTCAGAATACCTGGCGTTCCAGGCGAGAGATTCTTCCTCGAGCTCCTTCTGCATGTTGACGTGCTGATGCAGCAGCAGACTCGGATTCTTGTTTTTCCATCAGAGTCCGCGCCAGTGCGAGTTGTAACTCCTCAACTTTAGCTTTAAGGCCTCCATTTTCAGATAGTCTGACCAGCAACTCCCTGAATTCAATCATAAGTAGCTGCAATCTTCAAAAGAACTAGGCAAATGTACCTCTGCAAGCTAACTAGCTTCTCGGGGATCTGATCTCGAGAGACGTTTCCTGGGATGGCTTTGAGGACATCCTCCCAAGCATTCAGATCACATTCCAAAGCGGATATACGGAGCTTCACATCAGCATAGTCTACCAGCTTGGCTTCTGCTTGTTCTGCGCGCTTTCTTAGAGTATCAAGTTGTTCTTCCACTGCCTGCTGCTTCACGTAATTTGCCTTCAGCTTCTTCGCCTCTGAAATTTCAGCAGACTTTAAAAGAAAAAACAGTAAGAGAGATTTTCAATGGCAAACTTGAAACTCCACTTGACCTGATGTTTTAATTCCTCTCGCAGACTGTTGATTACTGCCTCCGCCTCTTGACTGTCCGTCATACGTGTATTGGAAAGCTTACTTGACGCGGTAGCGAGCTCTCTTTCAAGGTTCATTTTTTCCTGCAGTATCTGCAATACAGAAGCAAATAAACACATGTGTGAAGAACACAAATTTGTTACTTACATTGTTAAGTTTCTCTTCAAGCTCTCCATGTTGCACGCGCAAATACGAAAGCTCCTCTGATACGCACTCGGTCTCCCGTCTACATGCATCATTCTGAAAAAATTCACACACAAGCCATTACAGCAAATCAACGATCCAATGCTAAACCTCAGCATTCATTTTAGACATGCAAAACTCGTTGTTCTCTTCCATCCCTTGTACATCCCTTTCCAGACGACGAATTTCTTTAGCAGAGCTGTCACGCAAGCTTGCAAGCTCGTTTTTGAGTGACGAGACTTCGTTTTCCGCTTCCTTAGCTGTTGTCTCGGCCTCGGACTTTGATCGAATCTCTGCCATCAACTTTTCCTATAGACAACGATTCTAGCGTTAAGTAAAAAAGAAAAATCCACACTGGGTATGAAAGCTTGCCTGGATTTCGTTGCAACGAAGTAGCTGCTTGCGAAATCGTTCTTCTCCCACAGTCACTTCCTCAGCTCGCTGCGTACGTAGAGCTTCTTCCCTGCACGTAGCAGCCGCCAAACTTTGTTCTAGTGACTTCACGCGCGCAATCAGGCTTTGGTTCTCGCTTTCTGTGACAAAACTAGAATCAAAGTCTCGAGAGGAGAAAGGGATGAACTCACCGCGAGCTTTTAGCTGTTTAAATGCCGCTTCGTACTCTACAACTTGCTTTTCTCTGCGATCTAGCGTCTCGAGTAGCTCCGATTTCACCTACATTCCCGCAGAAAAACCTCTAGAAAATCGAAGAACCCTAAACCCAGACTCACCATATTTCGGCATTTATAGCTGCAGCGCATCGAATCCCAGTCGCGATCGTGATCGCCGGCATCATCGTCTTCTGGATAGGAACCGGCGAGCTCAAGATTTCGCTGATCATACGGCACCATAGCCGCCATTCCATCATCGAGCACAGGACTCCTTGCTGCCGGCGAGTGCGCTACTTCGATCTCGCGCTCCAGCAGCTCTAGAACTCGCGGCCGCTTCGCCGCTGGCGTCCTCGTCATCATCCTGGAAGCCCTGATATAACTCCCCCCAACCAAGAGCCCTAAAAACAGAGCTCTATCCAAATGGAATCCATAGCAGCGGCATTGGCGACACCGCGGGTGAAAATCTCCTCCAATCTCAGGGAAAGGAGGGCCAAATCCGCAGTAATCTCTGTAAGAGCCTCGAGTGGCGGCTGCTGCGGAGGATCGGGATCATCGTCGGGCAGCTGCAGTAGCCACAACAAGATCACAATGCCGGATCTAGACTACAACCCGGGCGGGGCGAGCTCGTCGAAATCAGGGCTGGAGAACGTTGGCAAGGAATTCGAGGCTTTAGTGGCGCAGCAAACGCTCGTGGAGCTAGAGAAGGATTACGAGACTACACAGGTGAGAGAGCGAACGATTTCTTTTCGAAAATTTCTCCATTGATTCGTGGATCTTGGCAGATGAGAGGCACAATCTCCAAGGAAGAGGTTCACGAGGCCATGAACAGCGTCCCAGTGGTGAGTAGTTCAGCATGAACTTCACGCGGGTTAAAAAACGCTTACCTCTCCATTTTCGTCTTACAGGGTAAAACTTCCACCACGCAGGGTAACTCCTGCGTGGATATTGACGAGTTACTGTCCGACGCGGCCGACTGTAATTTCGTGTTCCAGCAGTGTGACGAAGAAATCGTCTTGGTGTAGAAACATCGCGATATTTTGTGATATTTTATAGAATTTACCATTGCCATCTTTACCACGCCACATGAGCCCTAATCTTTAGCTCCATTCTTTCCAATAATGCTTTTGGCGCTCGCGACGGGGAGCTGATGGAACCCTAGCGGGGCAAGGAAGAAGAGGGGCGATGACGACGCCGCTCCATATGGCGTGCTATGGCGATCTCCGGGCCTGGTTCCGGCGGCGCCGCCGCGCAATTCTCATCGCCGCGGGCGCGCTGGGCGCGGGATGCGTGCTCTACTACGGATTCACCAGGTACAGCGCCGCGGCGCTTGCTAGGGCTAGGGCGGTGGAGGAGGAGGAATCCAGGCTTAGGGCGGAGAAGGAGGAGGAGCGCATCCTCCACCTCCGCCGGCATTGCGACGAAATCCAGCTCCTGGCCGATGCCACGACGCTGCCGTCGCTGCTCGCGCACCTCAGCGAGCGGCTCTTCGAGCTCGTCAACCTCTCGGAGCTCACGCGGCAGCTCATGGCGGGCAAGGAGGGGCCGCAAGCGCTCACCCCCGACGAGAAGCTCAATCTCTGGCAGAAGCTCAAGGTCTCCAGCTTCACAAGGACGCTGTGCGCCGCCTGGGGGATGGGTCTCGTCCAGCTCTTCGTCCGGGTCCAGCTCAATCTCTTGGGCAGGCAGCTCTTCATCAGCACTGCCTCGTTCGGCGATCTCCCGTTCAGCACCCAGCACAAGTTCCTAGCGTTTGGCGACTTCCTCCCCTTGCATGGGATCGCGCTTCTCGTCCAGGACGTGGAAGAGGCGGTGACCGAGGTGATGAGAGACATCTCCCTCAAGAAAACGTACTCGTTCGACGAGCTCCGGGACTTGCTCATCCAGATCCAGGCCGCGTTCGAGAAGCAGCAGAACGATTGGTGCCGCTACTTGCTTCCAGAGAATGACAAGCTCCCGCAAGAAGACTATCCAGTCGCCGAGAGTTCTCACAGCCGAGACGATGACGAGCAGCTACTCGTGGCCAAAGCCCGGGACGTGATCTCGAGCGCGGAGTTCCAGCACACGCTGGGTGCTGTGCTTGACGCTCTCCTAGACACGATGGTGCAAGACTTGCTTCCCTACTACCAGGGCCAGCCGGCGGTGGGACTGCCGCTCGCGAAGCTCGTCCCCGCCGTTTCCAGCGTTGGAATGCTGCTGGACAATCGCCAAGACAGCAAGTACGTTCGAGCGGTGGCCGAGCTCCCAGAGGTGAAGTCTTTCAGCGCCATGGTTTACGGTAGCGCAGCCTGACTAGTTCTTTGCGGCTTTTTCTCGAATCGCGCTGGGCGACTGCTAGATTTCGCTTGTGAATGTAAATCTTACACTTGGAAAATAATCTCGGCTGGTTCGCATCGATTTATTGGAAGATCTCAGACAAAATTCCCGGACGAGAGACTTACCTTCTGAAGTGAAAAGAAACACAAGGAAAACAATATGAAGTTCCAAGTAGAGCGAACACTTGGACAAACTATTCCATGGAGTACCTGTGGGAGAGCCTAGTTGACGAGCCTGGCAGGATTGATGTTGAGCAGCATGTTGTTTCCACCGGGGAGATAGGCCAGGTTCTTGTTCTTGGAGAGGGTGTTGGCGATGTCGCGAGCAGCCTCGATGCGCCGGAGCTCGATGAGGCCAAAGCCGGCGTTGGCGGTGGCCTGGGAGATGAGCTTCGCGGCCTCTCCCTCGCCCTCGGCGCGGATGATCGCGGCGCGGCGCTCCTGCTCGGCCTTTGCCACCACGAACTTGGAACGCTCGGCCTCCTGCTGCGCGACTTGCTTGGCCTCGACGGCTCTGGCGAACTCCGTGCCGTAGGAGAGATGGGTGATGGCCACGTCGTCCAGTTGGATGTTGAAATCCTTTGCTCGCTTCACAAGTCCTGCAAGCACAAGAAGAAGAAAGCAGTAGTAAAAACTACGATCTCATTTTCATCTGGAAACTATAGAGCCATGCATCGACCAAAGGCAATCATTTCATTCTCATCTGGAGAGCAGCGCCATTTATCGACCAAGGGTAAAGCCCATGACAAAAAAAAACGTAAGAAAGAGCCCAAGCAATACGAACAAAACCAACACCCATAACGAAAAAAGAAATAAAAGAGGGTGGTAAGAACTAAGATTCATTCTCATCTGGAAACCATAGAGCCATGCATCGACCAAGTGTAAAGGCATGACGAAAAAATACGTAAGAAAGAGCCTAGGTAATACGAATAAAACCAACATCCATAAGGGAAAAAGAGATTATCATCGCCATAGAGAAGATGAAGAACAAAACTAAACAACGAGTAAAACAATCAAGCATCCATCGCGAAGGCAATAAAAAAAAGCCAACAGGCACAACAAGGCTAAATGCTTTATATCGATCGCATTCTAAAAGAAGAAAAGAGAAACAAAGGAGGATAGAAAGCTTACCTTCACGGACAAGGGCCGAGACGTATGGGCGATCCGTGAGGAGCTGGTCGGCATTGAACTGCGCGACCACAGCCTTGAGCACCTCGTTCCCAATCGAGGGCAGCACGCGCTCGTCGTAATCCACGCCCAGCGTCTTGAAGATCGACGGGAGGCTGCCCACATCCGGCCGCGACAGCACCCTGAGCGTGAGATTGACCATCTGGAGATCCTTGGTGCCCGTGACCGACGAGATCGCTCTAGGGCGCGTGCGAATGTCGAAGATGTAAGGCTTCTGGAGCAGCGGAATGAGGACGTGCGTGCCCTCGCCGACGGTCTCATCCAGCACGCCGCGCAGCCGATCGAAGATCACCGCCTGCTCGCCCCCATCCACCGTGTAGAGCGACGCATTGAGGATGCTGCCGCCGATTCCCAGCGCCACGGCGACGCGCGCCACATTGTTGAGCAGCCCTGCTACCCTGGGTGCCGCCATAATCCCTTCCCTTGCCTTCCTCTCTTCCAAAACCCTAAACCCTCAGCCGCTAGAGTGGGGCCACACACACGGAATATTCTTTTCAAGGCGCTCATTCTGTTAGTTTTGAAGTTAGAAAACGTATATTCTGCTAAACAGTTTAATACGGGCATATTCTGGGAAGTGGCGGAGATATTTGTCTATGCCCGTTGGATTTGCTCCGTGCATTGGACGGCCACAGATCGGGCATTTTGTAGGGTTTGTATCGAAGAAATGGAGCTTGTGGCAGCGCCACAGGCGGTGCCGCTCGCCAGGATCTCTGGCGCTGCGTCCACTTCGTCGGCCTTGAGCAAGGGATTGAGCGTGAGAAGCCCCGCGACGACGGCCTTCTTTGGATGCAAGCTCCAATCACTGCCACTGCAGTTAGCAGGGCGTCAAGCGCGATCGCTACAGGTGAGATTTAGCTAGAGAATGTGGGGATTTGTGTCCATCTAGAGTGGATTCTCGTGATTCACGAAAATTTCGAGCTATATCACTAATGACCTTTAAATCGCAGGTGTGCGCGAGTAAGAAGACCTTCTCATCCTTCGATGAGCTCCTGCAAAAGTCGGATCGTCCCGTGCTCGTCGACTTCTACGCAACATGGTATGTGGTAATGAATCCCTCGCAAGTTTCTTCGTGCCTAAAGATTGATTTAGTTGCCGTCGTCTTCTGTGAAAGGTGTGGTCCGTGCCAGTTCATGGTTCCCATCCTTGGTGAAGTCCAAACGGCAATGAAGGATGAGATCACTGTGGTAAGCCCATTCTTCTCTCTTTTTGTTCGATTGGTTTCCAAGCTTCTCATTTCCAGGTAAAAATCGATTCGGAGAAATACTCGGACTTGGCGAGCAAGTACAGCATCGAGGCTCTTCCAACATTCATTCTCTTCAAGAACGGCTCGCCTGTGGATCGTTTCGTAAGTTCTAAGCAAAAAGAGAAAACTTCTTTCAACTTCATTGCTAAAATCCATGGGTTCTTTTGCAGGAAGGTGCTCTACCGGCAGCAAAGCTGATGGAAAGGATCCGCGGGGTCTTAAGCTCTTGCAAGGCAGGCGTCTAAAACGAAACTTCGTGCCTGGTATCCATTTTTTAAAGGATTCAATCTTTATAGAAGTTTGCTTGGCTTCTCCTTCAGAAACAATAAAATAAAATGCAACAGTCGGGTCGCGAGAAATTCCTGTTCTGTTTGTCTGACTTGTGAGCACCGGTTTTTATTGTGATCCAGGATCGTTAGCTTCGTCGAATCGGGCTTTTTTTTCCATAATGACCGGAGATTGTCAAGTGAGATCATTCCATTTTGTGCGGAGAAAAATGTCGACTGACGATTGGTGGCTTGTAGATTTGGACGTAACGGAATCGATCAGTTTGATGATGGCTGTATCTCTCCTGGAAATCAGCCCGTTGTAGTAATCCGGCAAGTATAAACTTATCTTCTTGGATCGTCGCTTTCAAATTGTCTTCTCAAAACGACCAGCTTGTTCCTGTTCTTTTCAGCCTCGGTAGCACGCAAAAGGTAGAACTTTCTTTCATCCCGACTTCTTTGCTCACTCGGATGGATCTTTTTCTTTTTCCATGTAGCTTCCAAGATGGCTTCTATAGCAGTTCTTGCGCTCCTGATAGCGACGCTACTCATCGTCTCGTGCACGGCTCAAGCTCCGGTAGAATCTCCGGCCGAAAGTCCAGAACAAGGGCCCGTCTTGCCAGTCTCTCCAGAGAGCGCTCCGGCGGAGCCCCCGGTTCCTTCTCCACAAATCTTTGGCATCCCACAGTCGCCGTCGCCGTCTCCGTCTCCATCAGAACTCCCGCCGCCGTTTTCAGCTCCCGTCTTTCTGCCTCCATCACCATCACCACCTGAAGCTTTGTCTCCAACTGAAGCTTTGGTTCCAGCTCCAGCTCCATCTCCAGCCTCCCCGCCACCTTTACGTGTTCCAACAAGCTTCTGCTCGCGCTCGGTCCTCCGCAAGACATGTCCGAATCCTCCGACGTTCGACTACATCCAGCTCCCGGACTACGCCGGCAAGTGGTACGAGATTGGAGCCACCGCCACCTCCAAGCTGCTGCTCGAGGCCGGGACCATCTGCAACCAGGCCGTGTACGCCGTCCCCAACACCTCGAGCTTCGCCCAAGCGCCAAACATGTCCGTCACCAACGTCGGGCTTCACGTTGCCGGCCCGCTCACATCGCTCGGCGTCCAGCAGGTTGCGGCCGCGGCTGGAAGCGCCTGCTCGGGCGCTCGAACCATCTGCGACCGAGTCGCCAACGACAGCCACACCACCAGAGCAGCAGTGGAGCTCGCGTCCGTGGCCGCGGCCGTCGAGCAAGGGAACTTCGCCGCCGAGCTGCTGGAGCTCCAAGACCAGATCTTCTCGGCCATCGGAGAGATGGAGGCGACGCTCGACCTCTTCTCGCCGTGCATGGAAAGCATCCAGCGTCTCGACGGCGACCTGAGCCAGGCGGAGATCTTCGCCAACGCCACCACCCCGGAGCAGCGCAACGCGACGCTGATGGCGCAGGGAGCCCGCCTCGAGGCTCTGGACGGCCTCCTGGATCAAGCCAACGCGCTGGTGGACTCGCTGCGTCAGTCGGTCCACAAGATGACGCAGTGCACGCCCAAGATCGTCAACATCTCGGCGCAGCTCCTCTTCGTCGGGGACCTCGAGTCGAGCGTCCGGCTCACGTCGGCTTCCACGGACCTGAGCACCACCGGCGACGCCATCCTCTCCCAGGTCCTGGCGATGCGTCTCACGCTGAAAGGCATCGCGGCGGCTCGCGGCCTCATCGATCTCGCCATCAGCACCGCATCGCCCAACACCACCGCGCCGAGCTTCGACACCTCTGCCGGCTTTGCCATCCAGAACGTCACCTCTCCCGGGAAGCTCAAGCTCCAGCTCGCGCCATCCATCGCCGCGCCTGTGCCGCCACCCGCGGCTCCATACTGGGTGCTATCGCTGCGAGGGCGGGCAATGCAGGGATACCGGGCCTCGCTGGTTTACTCGTGCTCGCAGAACAAGGTGACGGGAGCGATCCACCAGGGGATGTTCATTCTTTCCCGGACTCCCAGCCTTCCGCAGAAGATCGTCGATGAGCTGCTCCAGCTCTCGGCCGCTTTTGGCATCAACAACGACTGTGACGATCCGTTCCTCTACACTGTTCATCACGGCAAGACGTGCGCCATGCCACCCTCGGAGTGAGAAGAGGGGGTCGATCTTTTTTATTCCATTTTCAAATGTCTGTCTGCTTGTAGCTAGAAACCCTGCTCAAAACGATGCTCTCAGCTCTCTGTTTGCGCAAGCACAAAATTAACGACATAAGACCAAGCATTAAATCTGGCTCAGAGTGCGTTAAATCTGAATCTGTATCTCTGGCACAACGTGTTTAGTAGCACAGTATGCTAAACTATGGGTTCTGAAGTGAGCCACCATATTCTCTTTGAGCACAATAATCTTTTCTACACAATATTTATATTGAGAAAAGTATAGAAAGATTCAATTTTAATTAAAATAAAAATAAGAATTGAATATTCCCATTGTAAAATGTAACATTGTGAGGTCCAAATGTTGCTGTATACTAATATTACACCAATATTAATATAGTAGGATTTTGATAACTGTTAAGATTGATTTTAATTTGGACCAGTCGCTTATATATATATTTAAGTTATGGTTTTATGTTATATATATATGTTCTATATATGTTTTATATATATATAAAATTTCTGGTTTTATGTTAATTGATATGCATATTTTTGTATTTTATATTCCATACACTTACATTGGTGGAGAGAGGAGTGTTTGGATTTGGGATTTTAGTTTAAATATAGTTTTTGCATTATTTAAATGTCACTTTCTTTATAGCTTTTTCAATTTCTTCTCTTTTACTTTTTCCTTTTCATTCATCTTCATGGTAAAGTAGTAACTTCCTCCTCTTTTAACTTTGGAGCAACAATTGGCACAATTATGCTATGTGGTTATAATTAAATAATTAGACTTAATTGATGGTAACATTCATAGCATGTGATACAACTCTTTTTGCTCTTGCTGCTAATACTTGCATCCGGCCAGAGTTATTTCGTGGGAATCTTGGGATGATATTGGTTTGATCACTTTATAATAATTGACATATATCATTCTTAGGATGATGTTTAATATTTAAATGAGTTTCTTATATATTTTTAAGGGCTGATGTTATAATGGTATAATAGTTTGAGCGCAACCACTCGTATGGATTAGAGTATTCTCCCAAAAGTCTTCAAATGTGCATTTGGACATATCAATGATTGTGATGATGCTTTTAATTGATTGTATTGTCTTTATTAAACGCCATCTAAGTTAGTGATGCAATTTGGTGTTTGTTTGTGAAACTTCTTACTTTGTGCGGAGCTAAATAAGTTTAGAATATTATGGCCAACACTTTATCAAAATTTTATAGGACTTGTACATGCATTTGCTTTAACCACCCTTAATGATGTTTTTTGCTTAGTACAACATTATAAGATATTGCCTTTTATATATTTTGTTGCACATCTTTCGTTCAAAGATAAGGGTGAGGAAGTGATCATGGCTATGATGTTTGTTATTGACTGTGTGATGAAGTTGGCCATATTTATTGGTGTTATTGGTGTTTTTCAGATTGACATTTTCCATTTATTAGATGGAGATCTTGGCATCAACAACGTTTTATTAGTGTTGTTGTAGTGGAAAGTTTAAACACCAAGATGCTTTTGGGAAATGAGTCATGTGAGTAGTGAATAGTCTTTACGTGAATAAGTTGATGATCCCTCTATTTTTCTTTCAAAAGTATTATCAAGGGGTTCACTCAACATCAGTTTATCTAATTTTTATTTTCCAAAGTCATTTTTATAATGTAAGGTTTCCTATTATTCTCTTTATATTAGTTGATACAGGCTTAAATTTATTTTTTATTGCTTGGCCTATTGCCACATATTGCCGTCTATATTTATATCGTACGGTAAAGCTAGCTTTTATTCTTTATGGCAACAACCATACACATGCATATGCATAGGATGAGGCAAACTTGG